AAAAAAAAAAAAAAAAAAGCAAACATGATAATGGTTGTGAAGGAAGCACCAGCGAACCAGAAAAAGGTTTAAAAATGTAAAGGACCATTGTTTCCGATCAAGGGAGGCGCCTGACTAGAGGAGGCTCCCAATAAGCCCAACTGACTGGGCTCTAGGAAGAGCACTGCGCACGCGCAGCGGGGTGGCGGCCCAGACCCTGTTAAGTGTTACCCTTTAGCGTGTTTCTTCGACTTCCCAAGGGGCGCCTTTTACTGAGTGGGTGGGGTGCCTAGTTCGAAAAGGGCCTCAGGTCTGGCGAGAGCAGAAAGTAACGAGACAACGTGGACACGCAACACTTTGTAAAGCAAGAACTTAGCAGACTGCGGCGCCCCGGGTCAGGTTCTCTTGCTCCCAAGCAAGAAGACACAGGAGCTCATAGGCTTCCCTAGGGCCGGAAGAGTCGGTGGTCTTGACTCTTGCGTGGCTGAAGAGAAGCAGGGAATCTGTTCCTCGGGGAGGGGAAGGACACGCGGGCCAATTGCTGACTTTGCTGGGCTGAGTCTTCACCGGTAGAGGGAGGAAGTCGGGTGGCGTAGCTGTTACAACGTCATCGGAAACACGTCCTTTCATCTTCCGGCTGAAACCAGTTCCACTAACCACAACCCAAAAATGGCGTTTTGGGGTAGCGTCCTGGGGAGGGAGAGAGGAGGGCCAAGTGGGGCTTGAGCTTCCGTTGACCCTGCGTTCCAGAGGGTTGGGGACTTAGCTCTCCAGGCACATAGCGCACTGGGCTGATACCGCCTTCCCTAGCGGCGCAGGGCCTGAGGACGGCGCTCTCCAGAGTAGACGGCAGTAAGAGTTACTTTACAATTGAGACAGTGAAGGAGGCAAGTGGCCCCCACGGAAGCTGGAGCTGTCTGGAGGTAACCAAAAAAATTGATTTTTCTTTTGAGTTCAGCCAGGAGACCCCTGAGAGATGCTGGCTAATCCTGCCCGTTGCAGCCTTATGGGGGCGCTGTCTGGTGGGGGAGTGGGTGTGGGATGCAACCATTTCTGGTAGAGCCTAGCATCCTTATTGCCTGGAGGCGGGGTGCCCGAGTGCCAGCGGGAGCGGTCTTCAGCTCCTACACTTCCAGTCTCCTCTTTCTATCCTGTGAGCAAATATAAGGCAGGGCTACTGCTGAAGCACTCTTGGATGCTCCCCACGTGTTGAGTGTTTGGGAGCTCCTCTCCATAAGGTGTAGTGAATCCACGTTAGAAGTTGGGGCAGTAATGTTTACCAGAGCCCTCCTGAAATGGTCCCCGTTCCACTGGTTTGTGATCTCATGAGAGAAGAGGTCAGTTCAGCCCCAGAGACATCTGCTTCTGTTGACACAAAGATGTGAGAAGTGTTTTGTACTTGCTGAACCAGAATGGGTAACATGGAATCCACCATTCCTTTTCCATCCGAGAAACAACTGTGTTGCCATTTGCTTTGGATCACCTCATAGAAAATGGGGCTCGGGAGGCTATATCCTTGTCCCTGCATACGGGTTAAATGACCTGAAGGAAATGTCAAGTCAGAAGGGTTAGCTTTATGAAGACCTTCCTTGTCTATGCAGGACCTCAATCATCACCCTCTTCCTCTCCTATTTTATCATCTGACATTTTCATATCTTGTGAACAAAAAGGCTAGCTTTATTTTTTTTTCTAGTTAAAGTAGACAGAAAATTTAAAATACAGGTAAAAGTCATCTTCATAGGGCCCTTTATAAGTCTTGCAAAGCAATGACAAAAATGATGAGGATGTAGTTGCTTAATCAGGGGCACTTGATGATAGGAATACTAATTACATTCCTTCTGTTCTGGTCTTACCGTATCAGCTTTCCTGCTGTCATCAATACAAGGAAAAGGAGACTATGAATTGTTCCATTAAGTGAAGGCTTTCATCTTCATAAAAGGATGAAGAGGCATAGAAATTGTTTTTCCCCCAAGTAAAAACAAAACACTGAGATGATCTATTAAAATTTAGAGAAACTAAATATACCTGTTTCATCCTAATCTTCCCTTGGCATTGTGAAGATAGAAGCACACAAATTAAGTTTTTGGATGATATCAAAACTCCTTTGAACCATTGGGTGACAGTTTTGTCACTGATCAACATTTCCTTAACCAGAAAACAAACATAACCAAAAAGTCATTGATTGACATTCTGTGAGCTCTTGCTTTGTTTCAAAGCTGAGTAACAAATAAAAGGAGAGAACTCTAGGTCCTGAAATAATCTGTCATCACAGATGTTCTAATACTTGGCAGTTAATTTTAAAGGGCTTGCAGAACAGAACTGTGCCTGTTCATTTTTCTCTGATAAGTAGCAAGTACATAGGGGTCATGTGACTTTCTTCTTGACAGACACTTTTTTCCCACCCTCCCTCAGTGTCCTCAGGAAGAAGATCCTCTCTTTGATTTTGTACCTAACCTGAAGGGGCCTTAGAACAATGACAGGATATCTCAAGGTGGCTGCATGTGGAAACCTCCAGATGAAGCCTGTTTTGGAAACTAAGAGCTCTGTGAGAGAGAGTTCCAGTCGTAAATTCACCCCACAGAGGAGCAGTCTTGATCCAGAGAGCTCTCGTCGGCACTTTCGGAACTTCTACTATCCTGAAGCAGCTGGACCCTTCCAGGCTGTCAGCCAGCTTCGGGAATTATGTCGTCGGTGGCTGAGGCCAGAGATCCACTCGAAAGAGCAGATCTTTGAGCTGCTGGTGATAGAGCAGTTCATGACCATTCTGCCCAGGGGGATCCAGAGCCAGATGCAAAAGCACCATCCACAGAGCATCGAGGAGGCTGTGGCCCTGGTCGAACACCTTCAGGGAGAATCTTGTCAAGGGAGGAATGAGGTGAGAAAAAGATTCCTGACATATACAATGAAATAGGATAAAGGTGGGTCTGTTAGGGAGGCAGACAGTTTATGAGGAAGGAGATGAATATTAGGTTACTCTTTTGTTTCCTCAGGACTGCTGAGGCAGGACCTGAAACTGTAGGTCCCCAGTAATAGTCTTGCACAGGTTTTGGATCTTTTCCATGGTGCCCATGACCCATACTGCCCAGCAAGTGTTCTGAGGTGTTTTCACCCTAAATGTTCTACCCTAGGTAACCAGGCCTGGCACAGTGGGGGTTGGGCATTTCCTAAGGTATGTACTCTGATCCCTTTGGTTCCTTACTTGATGGCTTCTTTTTGTTTTTATCATGTACTATTACTTCACACACACATTACTTATTTCAGTGTGTGGCCTCCTATGTAACTCAGAGACAGGTGGTTGGACTGCTTCTGTAGTGGCAGGTACTGACCTGAAGCCCTTTCTCTTCTTTAGAGTTTGTTGACCTTTGAAGATGTGGCCCTGGATTTTTCCCAGGAAGAATGGGAGTTACTGGACCCCACTCAGAAGACCCTGTATAATAATGTGATGCAGGACATCTATGACATTGCCATCTCTCTGGGTAAAGATTTACTCTTCCCTTTGTTAGAAGTTGAGGAGTCTGTTATTTCCTCTGTTGACATAGAATGCATTTCAGTGTACAGAGAATGTAACTTGTAGCTTCTTCACATGAGAGAGTCCCACTGTTTCAATGGCTGATATACCTAGTAGTGGGATTGCTAGATCATACGGTATTT